CATTGAACAATGAACACATTTGATATTGACCTTCTAATGTAGTCGATATGATGATGGATATAATAGATATATACACTATATGGATGACACTTTTTTTTACATCACTTATAAGTTATTTTATTCAAAAGACAACCAATATTCAGTGTTCATTCATTGGTAATATGGAGAGAAAAAAAAAAGATTCATGTTTAGTTTAGTTTTTGGTTTTTTGATTCTGAGTTCTGTATTCTGGAACAATCCATTTATATTATTCTAGCTATTCATCCATAAAGATGATGATGTTATTTTATTGTTTTTTTTTTGTTTTGTAAATGCCATCATCTTTTATAGGGATGGACGTCATTTCTTTTTTTTCTTTTATTCAGATCTTTTTTTTTGTTTTGTTTTAATTAAATTAAAACAAAAATACACGATTCTGGGACGAACAAAACGAGAATGAAAAAGAAAACTTTCATATGTACCACAAACACACAAATCATGTTTCACATTCACAAATCAACTCTTTTTTTGTTGTTGTTGTTGTTGTTGCCTGATGATGATAGAGATTTTTCTGTTTGCATATACAATTTGAATACCATTTGACGATAGTCATAAGAATCCATACAACAACAACAACAAAACGAGAAAATATCATTAACAAACATTGTGATTATGATTTTTTTGTTTGTTTGTTTAATTTCGTCAAGTTTTTCTCTATAATAATGATAATGATAGAGAATCAATCGAAATGATTTGTCAATTTGTTAGTAACGGTAAAAAAAATTCAAAGAACGAACGATTCATTTTATTTCATTAAATCTATCAACATTTATACGATTTTATCTATTTGGTACATTGGGAAAAATTTCTAATCAAAATAAATTGATCAAAGGGAGAGAGAGAAAATGATACAACAATATCATCTGTTATCTGGTAAATGAACAGAAAAAAAACTCATGAAATTGAATTTTCTTGATATGATGCGGTTTTTCTATCTTTTTTTTCTGTTTGCCTGCATTTCAAACAAAAAAAAAATCATTCCAACAACGTAATTGATTCAATTTCATTTACACAGCAAATCAATGATGATGATGATGTTGTTGTTTGAGAGAAACAACAACAAATTCTCATTTTCAAATTCTATATTGGATGCGGTAATTTAATTTTTGTTTTGTTTTGTTTTGTCTTCATTGCTACTGACATCAATCCAAGGATATATACAATTACTAAAAATAAATTTCAATTCGTTCGTTCAGTATAACTGAATGATTTACTGATAAAATGACAATGAAATATAAAAGGATTGTTATTTTTTTTGGGTGCAGATTTTCAACAAGAATGGATTTTTTTCTGACAAGAATAATTCCAAACCAACCAAACCAAATGAGAAATGAGAATATCTCTTTTTTTGAATGTGATGAATTTTTCTTATTTTTAAAAAAAAAAGGAAATTTGAAACTTTCTTTGAAATGCAGAAAAAACTGAACTGAATATCATTATAATCATGATGATTTATATTGATATAAATATGATATTCAATATTGAATTTGATTTAATTTCAAATTTCATTTTTTTTTTCAACTGATTATTCATTTCAAAGATGATTTGATAAATTAAATATCAAATAACATCATATACAGATATAATTTACACTTTTCTCTCACACAATCATATAAAAATGATAATGATAAAGTTTTTTTTGTTCATTCAATTTTTCTATGTTTTCTATCCAAAATTCTTCTAATGATTTATTTTGCAGGGCAAACAAACAAACAAAAAAGAGTTGCGTCTACTTTTTTTTCTAGGTCCTTGAAAACGATAACGATGTTGACAAACATTCATTAGTAAACAGAAATTTATCCAATCCAATCAAATTGATGGCCTGAATCCTGGCTCAAATAATAATGATTATTATTTCAAAAAAAAAACAAATTCTATTTTTGGTTACATTTTAAGGTTGTTATTTTAGTTTGGACCATCATGGTTTTATACATCAAAAGTTTATTTTTCCAAAGAATTTTTCCTGTTTTTTGTTATTTTTTTTTTTTTTTTTTTGAAATAAAAATCATTCGATTCATTCCAATCGGATTGAATTGAAAAAAAANATTCTATTTTTGGTTACATTTTAAGGTTGTTATTTTAGTTTGGACCATCCGTTTTATACATCAAAAGTTTTTTTTTCCAAAAAATTTTTCCTTTTTTTTTTTTTTTTTTTTTTTTTTTTTTTTTGAAATAGAAATCATTCGATTCATTCCAATCGGATTGAATTGAAAAAAAAAACATGGGAGAAAAAAAATCTAATCTCTTTTAATTCATTTGATCGTTTGCCCTCCTTCTTCCGAATCGAAAATGGATGACAACAACAAGAATTCAAACTGGAAAAAAAACTTTCAATTAATAATCGAATAAAGAAAACGCCTATCATCATCATAAATTATTATTTTTAGAATCTAAACAAAAACAAAAACAAAAACAATAGAATCACTATGCACGAACATTTAGCATTTTGAAAACAAAGAGTATGGCAACAAAAACAAAAAAAACATTGTATTCAATATGATGATGATGATGATATTATGGCACGAATCAGCCAAAAAAGAATACAATATCCAATATGGATGTACCTATAGGTATTTGTTGTTGTTGTTGTTGTTGTTGTTGTTGATTTCATTTCAATTTCAATTCCAAAAACAAAAGTCAGATTCTATTGGTCTATTGAAAAAAAATGTATAATATTCTGGCGGTAATTTTTCTATTTTGTTTGGAAAGGAAACAATTGCGAAACAATTTCGATTTATTATTCATATTCTGACAGGGTCACGCAGTTTTTTTTCTCGCCAAATCATTAATGTGCCGAACAAACAAACAAACAAAAAAAATTCGGGTAAATAAATGAACAAAAACAGAAAAAATGTCAAATACAGTTAATAATAATGGTAAACAACAACAACAATAACTATACACCCATTCCATATATAATTCAATAATCCATAAAATACGTAAACAAACAAACATGAATCTATATATATAGAGCAAATATCTTAAGTTATTTTGTTTGTTTGTTTATTTCCGTATATATTATGTAGATAATTTTCAAAATCAAAACAAAACAAAACAAAAAAAAATTCTATCACTATCTATCTGATGTTCATTTTTTTCGGTTTTGTTTTTCCAGAGATTCACTCAATATATAATGGTGATAATATGGTGAAAGACAAAATCCATTCAGCTTTTTTTTCCTAAGATTTTTTTTTCTGTTTGTTGTTGAAAATATTCATCCATACAAAATAGAATAGAATAGATTATTTACTAAAACAGTAATTATTATTATTATTTAATGCCACAATGGCTAACAAATAATAATAATGATAAATATTCTAGAAATATTCGGTTTTCAATGATACTGTTTTTAGTTAGTTATGTGTTTGTATGAATGGATGGCATGGTTTCAAATGGAACAAGATGTAGCGATGTGCATGCGCATCATATAAAACATTGATGATGATGATGATGAACGCACCCTTAAAGTACACACAAACAAACATGCATCATTGGAAAATATAGTTTTTAGTTAAAAGCGCATACATGATTTTTTTTTAGTTTTAGTTTTAGTTTTGGATCGATCCAATAACGGTACATTCTTTAATGTTAATTCTTTTTTTTATTTATATTCATAATTCTAGACTGCTTCCTCAGTTTTTTTTTCTTCTTTGGTTTGCTTCGTTTTAGTTAGTGTTCCAGGGTTGGTTGATTCTTTATTTTAGATTCTATTCCATATAATACTTTTGATTTGGGTTTTTTTTTCTCTACTAAATGTAACGAAATAAATTTCCCACCATTCGATTCAATGTTGTTGTTGTTGTTCCATTTTTTTTTCTTTGCCTAGACTCAAAATTTTATTCTTATTTGGCATTGTGAACAACAGTGTCTAGTTTTTTTTTTTGATTTGGCTGATTTGGATTTTATTTTACTTTCTTTGGCCTTCAGTGTGTGTGTGTGTCTATTTGTGTTTTTTGATTTTTGGTGTTTGATTTTGAATCAAATTTCCCATTTTCAATATTTTGTTTTTGATGTTTTTCAACAACAAAAAATTGATACAGTTTTTTTTGAAAAAGTGTGTTCATGGTCATTATCGTCATCATCATCATTATTATCATGATTGTCAAAACACTTGCTGAATCATCATTGATTTTTCAATATAATTTCATTTGTATAGAATCGATTGATCATTTTTTTTCATGAGAAATTGTCGTTGTCTTGGCCATAAACATTTGATACGCACACACACACAATGATATAAATGTCTATTTTTATAAATAACAGAAAAAAAAGAGAATTTTCTTCAAACTTTTCATTTTTTTAATGGTTACTGTTGTTGGGTATATTCCGGAATATTACCGTGTAGCAACATTAATTTTGTTTTAAAAAAATTTCTTTCTCACTTCTTTTAAATTCATTCATTCATTCATTCATTATTGATAACATCAACAACAATTTTGTTGTAGACAAAGAATATCGACAAAATGAAACATTGAAACGTTATTCATTTTTTTTAAAAAAAAGCGTTTGTTGATTTTCTAATTTTGTTTCGCTACCCGTCGGCTATTTTCATTAATGACAACAACAAAAAAGTTTCTTAAAATAAAAAATTTTGTTTTTTGTTTGTAAATAAGAGACTTGTTTTTTCAACAACAACAACAACAAAGTGCATTTCCTTTAAAGACAAAAACGAAAGAACTTTTTTGTCGGTAAAAAAAACCAAAATCCGAATTACAAAAAAAAACGGAAACAATGTTTATCCGTTTTGAACCGATAAAACGGCCACAATCATATAATGATAATCCAATTACAAGCCTTTCATGGATGATAAATGATTGTAGCCAAAATTTAAATAATAATAATAATGTAACATCCACAAATAATGAAAATGATGATAATAGTCATCATAATAACATTATTGACGATAATGATCAACAACAACAACAGCCACCGGAATCATCATATTCGATAGATAATCATCATCCGCCACCACAGCGTAATAATTCATTAAGTTTTTCATCAAACGAACGATATTATCCATCATTTGATGATGATGATAATAATAATAATAATAACAATAGTGGTAATGGACAGAATATGGATGAAATACTTGATGGATGGTTAGCTATCGGTAATTGTGGTGGTGTTGTTGGTGTTACTTATACGACAATCGATTCATTACATATACAAAATTTTAAACGACAAATCAATAATAATGGTGATCAAACAATCAATAAATCAACAAATTTTATGACATCCAATCATACTTCGTTTGATGATAATAATAGTCGTAATCAATCAGCAATAGTACCACAACGAACAAATTTTAATTTACGTGGTCATCGTTCAGAGATTGTATTTGTACGTTGGAATGAACCGTATCAAAAATTAGCTAGCTGTGATCGTAATGGTGTTATATTTGTATGGATCAAATATGAAGGTCGTTGGTCAATCGAATTGATTAATGATCGTAATACCCGTGTAACAGATTTTGCATGGAGTCATGATGGTCGTATGGCATTAATATGTTATATGGATGGTTTTGTATTGGTCGGTTCAGTATCCGGCCAACGGTATTGGTCATCGATGCTCAATTTAAATGGTTGTTCAATTACATGTGGTACATGGACAGCAAATAATCAACATGTTTTATTCGGTACTTCTAATGGTCATCTATTGGGTAAGTTTTCTGCTAATAGATTTCCAAGATTTTTATCATTTTTTCCTTTTCCATATTGATCAGTAATATCTGTACACGGTGTATTCATAACACAAATCAGTATACAAGAAGGTGTCGAAATAGCAAGTATGATGTGGTCATGTCAAAAATTTCAATCATCAACTAAACAACGACAACAACAAAATAATGATTCAATTTTAGCCGATTTAAATAATAATCATCGTCATCAGCAATCAAATGAAACAGTAACAGAAGAACAACATGAAAATCATATGTTAGCAATAAGTTTTGTCGATGGTACTATTTATTTAATGCAAAATTATGATGAAGTATTTCCAACGGTCATTGAAACATCATTGATTAATATTAAAATGGAATGGTCAATGAATGGTAAATTATTAGCAATTGGTGGTCATCGTATTATTAAATCATCAGTGAATGGAATGTACATGTATCATAATATAGTTCGAATTTATCGTCATGATGGTACATTAATTAGACAATGTCAATTAGATTTTAATTATCAGCCATTATCAGCATTAACATGGGCTTGTAATGATCGTCGGCTATTTATTGCATGTGGCCAATTATTATATGTTGCATGGATCATTCATGGGTACGTTATATCATTTGTTTCTGTAATGAATTTGAACTAATTGTTTTTTTTATATGTACAAAAAAAAGGATACCAAGTCTTTCATTCATTTCTGGATTACAAGTTTATAATGGATTAAAAGATGAAATAAATATTGAACGTTTACAAGTGCCCGAATCAGTAAAATTATTATTAAGTGAATTATTTACATCGACAATACATTGTTATCTACCTGATTATCAACAAATTGGTAAATTTGTATTTAGGCCACCGGCTAATAATTTACGTTTACATTGTACATTGATGAGACATGAAACAACAACAACATCAACGACAACAGCATTATCATCATCATCCTTATCGATGATCAATCATAATCATTATCAACAGCAACAACAATTAGATTCATCGATAATAAATCAATCATCATCGAATAATGATGATACATTCTATATATTATATCTTGAATATTTAGGTGGCCTTGTACCAATATTGAAAGGAAAACGTTCATCAAAAATTAAACCAGAATTTATTATATTTGATCCACAACGCAATTTAGATACCAATTCTAAAATATCATCAAATGCATCCAATCTTATTAGTGATAATAATTTTAATTCACAAAAAATTTCCAACACTACCGATACATTTCCTAATGGTGGACGTTTTAAATATTTTCTACAGAATTCTGTATGGACAAGTGTTAGTGGTAATCGTAATTTAACATCAACAACAACAACAACATCTGATAGTGAAAATGATAATGATAATTCATCATCAACATCTGCATCAATATTATATCATCTAACACCGAAAACTAGACGACGTTTACGTTATTGTCGCACACCACAATTTGGTAGCCGTAATCGTCATTATAATGATGATGATAATAATAATAATAATTTAGAATATCAACAACAGCCACATCAACAACCACCAAATCAAACACCATGGATTAATGATAATACATTGCCAGAAACGGATAAAATTGTTTTGATTACATCGAATATATGGGGAACAAAATTTAAATTTCTTGGTATGTCACCAAAATTGCCGACAAATCTAGGTTCAATTACTTATCGTACAAGTTTATTACATTTACAACCAAGACAAATGTCATTAGTTATTAAAGAATTAAATGATAAAAATACATTTACCAGCAATTACAATAACAATCATCATCATAATATTATTCGACATAAACATTGTAGAAATAATGAACAACAACTGAATAAGAATAATTCATTTAACGGAAATTATTATTATTCATCTGATTCGGAAGATGAATTTAGTGAATCACAACGATGGATGATACAAAATTCATCATCAAATGATCAATCATCATCATCATCATTAATGATACCACCAATAGCACCATTAAGTACATTAAAATCGGTAAGAAATTTAATGCTAATGAGTTTGGATAATATTCCAAATCAGCCATCAATAATGAATGAATCGATCGAACAACGACAACAACAACAACAGATAATTCAAGATGAATTTCTAACTTTACAAATTCATCAAAATGATAATGGTTTAGCAACAAGTTATAATGTTGAAATTAAGCCATCATCATCATCAACAACAACTAATCATAATAATACAATAAATCATCGACCATCGATTGTATCGATTGATTCACCACCACCAACATCATCATCATCATCATCGGCAATTGCATCAACATTTGTACGACAATTTAAACATCAAACATTTCAATCTGAAAGTCCTAAACATGTTTCATCATTTTCACAACGTTTATCACATCAACAGCAGCAGCAACAGCAACAGCAACAATCACAAGTTTCAACTTCAGGTATTTCCTCATCATCATCAACAACAACACAGCAACAATCATCATCCCAATCACCAAAATTATATTCATCACCAAATATTTCACCAAATAAACAAAGTAAGTTTAAAAATTCTATCATAAATAATGAATTACATTATTGATTTGTTTGTTTGTTTGTTTTTTTTTCCTAAACAGTAATAAGATCAAAAATTTTAATGAAAGAATCATCACCAAGAAAATCAAGTGTTTCATATTGTTCAAATGAATTTACTAAAAAAAGTTTTGTTGGTTGTATGATGAATGAAACGGAAACATCAACAATTTGTGATATTGTTGAAACTACTATTGGTGCACCATCTAGTGGAATTAATAATAATAGTAGATGTCAAAATGGTTATCATAATCATGATGATGATTATTGTAATAATAATGATACTATTACATCATCAACAACTTATCTGGTTAAATATAAAACATGTATAAATGAATCATTGGCTTTAGCATCATCTGTTGATTCAAATACAACAACAATACCTGCTGCTTCATTAGCTGATCATAATCATAATCATCATCATCATTCATCCGTTGGTAATCATTCGATTCGAAATAATAATAATCATCAGACCAAATCACATCATCATCATCATCATCATCGATCACAATCATTTCAAACGTATCATATTTATGATGATACTGATCGTGTTATTGTCAAAGCTAATCCATTGAATTTAGATGATTCAAATTCTAAACAACAACGACAAAGTAATCAGATGGTTGTTGATAATAATAATGATGATGATGACGATGATTCAACTGATCAATATATTCGTAATGTTGAACAAGTTGTACAATCATTGAGTCAAAAATTACAGCTACAACAACAATCAAATAATCAAAAAAATCAAATTGATCAAAATCAATATCAGCAACAATATGATCCATTTGCAAATCTTAATCAGCAACAACAACATCTATTTCGTAATAATTCATTATCATATGATGATGATGATAATGATCGATCATCATCATCATTATCATCAACTACACAATTACATCAGACACCACGAAGATTTGTAAATAGTATGATTGGTGATCATAATAATCAAAATCGAAGAAATATGTCGATTACAAGTTTAGTTTCATTGCCGCAACAACAACAACAGCAATCAAATCCAATGGATAGATTAAGATCGATAATGACAACATCGAATCAAAATACAAATAATTTATTAATTAATAAAAATCGTAGTTTACCTTCATCACCATTAATGGGAATGAATCGTAAAGAATTGAATCCGTTACCAACAAATTCATCGAAAATGCAATCATCAAGACGATCAAATGGAAGGCATTTTTTTCATAGTCCAAAAGTTGTACGAAAATTACGTCGAAAGTAAGTTTGTTTTTTTTCGAAAACAAAGAAAACTAAATTTGCTAAATTTTTGTTTACAATAGATTAAGCTATCTGGATTGTAGTTCTGAAGATGATGAAAATAATACCAGCGATGATGATGATGATTTGAATTCGATAGAAAATCAATCAACATTGAATATGGATCAAAATGCTGATGATTTGAATAATAATAATAATAATCAATTAAAAATAATTGAAAAGAAAAAAAATGGTTATCAAAAATGTCGAAAATTTTCAAATAACAATAATAATGAAAATGAAACCAGTAAAAAATTTATATTACATAATAAAGCACCACTTTGGAATGAAATATCACAAGTATATCAATTAGATTTTGGTGGTCGTGTTACACAGGAATCGGCTAAAAATTTTCAAATTGAATATCAAGGTCGACAGGTAATATTCGAATTTTAATTAATTAATTTTGTACAAAATTGTAATTTATCTGTTTATTTTTTTATTCAAGGTAATGCAATTTGGTCGTATCGATACAAATGCCTATACATTGGATTTTGAATATCCATTTTCAGCCGTACAGGCAATGGCTGTTGCATTGGCTAATGTTACACAAAGGCTCAAATAATAATTTTATTTATTTTATTTATACAAGAAAAAAAATTGAATCAAAAAAAAATTCCCCATTGAACAGAGGTTGTGTTATATTAATATAAATGTGGAGAACAAAAAAAAAATTGTAAATTTCTTTAAAAATTTTTCAGTGTGCGTGTGTTTGTGACTATGTCCTGTGTGTGTCTTATTTTAATCTAATTTATTTTTATTTTATTTCATTTTTTTGGAAACAAATAATTCAATTTTTCAAAACAAAATAACACACGAAAATTCTATGTAGTATTTATTGATTAATGAATTTATTTTTAGCAAACAATCAAATGTCAATCAAATATTATTTCAATAAAATTATCTATTTATTTTTTTTGATTAAAATAAAAAATTTTAGAAAAATTTTCTTTTCAATCGTCAGATGTCAGCCACATCTTTGCCAATCAAAATTTTATAAATCATAAATCATTTATGCAATTTTTTCCCGGTTATCATTTACTGAAAAAAAATTAAGAAGATGAAAAAAACAATTACTCATAAAAATTTATATAATACCTTATCATCATTATCATCATCATCATTATTTGGGCAAAACAATAATAACAAACAGAATATTTTCATTTCTTTCGAGGATCATCAACTTTTGTTCTAAATAATATTTGATGATGTTAAATGAATAAGGAAACTGAAGAAAAGAAAAATCTTCTTTAGAATCTCTTGTTTTTCAGACTAAAACATTCATTCATTCATTCATTGTTTATCGTGACATCGATTTGGGCAATTAAATTTCAATCCATCATTTTCACACAACACACACCATACTTGTTTACTAAATATAACACCGGACTATACAGGCACATAATATATCATTTGTACAACAACAACAACAACAACAACATGAGATGCTCCAGAATCAATTTGAACATACCCAAAAGAATGAAAATTTTATTAATAATCAAAAAGACAACAACAACAGAAATAATGATAATGATGATGAAAAGTTTTTTCCCTTATTTTATTTTTTATTTTTTATTTTTTTGTTATTCTTGCCCAAAATCAATTAATCTCCACCATGATACATAAACAAAAAATTTGTTTGCATCATTGCACAATTGTTTATCATGTTGTTTCGTTTTTTTCCAAATGATTCCAAAAAAATGTTGATCATTTTAAAATGATGATAATCGAATCAAATTTTGTTTTGTTTTGTTTGTTTGTTTGAAAAAACCAAGTCATTCGTAACAGAATAATTGTCGTTTTTGATTTATGCAAAAAAAACATTCAAATATTCAAATGTTTGAATATTTGTCGAGATTATCCATCCGTTTCATCATCATCCAATTTCATTTTCGTTTTCGTTTGTTTCGTTCATTTTTTTTCACTCGAAAATATCCATTCGTTTCATCCTGACTTTTATCGGTAGTATCAAGATAATTTTTTTGGAAAAATATTTGGATCATCATCATCATTAATTTAAATTTTTTTTTTCGTTATTTTGTTCAGAATCATTCATATAAATTTACGTACCGTATGCATGACCCAAAGTTACCGCATCCATTATAAACATCATCATCATTTTCCCCTATCATAACGACAGCAGCAGCTACTAAAGAAACAAACAAAAAAAAAAGAAAAAGAAAAGAAAATTCTCGTCACGACATTCTATGAGTAATAATTTCTTTTCCGGGAAATTTATTATATTTGGTAATGTTTTCGAAATTTTTTTTTTACATTTTTTTCACCGCATATAGTGTGTGTAATATGATTCTGTTTTTTTCTTCTTCTTCAAGTATAAACCGAATAAGAAGGTAAGTAAGTTAGATATATGGATTTCTTTTTTCACATCTTTTGTTTATTTTCATTTTTTTTTCTTTCGGAATCTTTCTCAAATGATGAAAAAAACATCATTTATAAATCATTCATAGAAAGCGAAAATTATTTCACATCTTGTGTGTGTGTGTGTGTTTTCATCAATTTTCGTTCGTGTTCGGTGTGTGTTTGTGTGTGTGTGTGAAAAAAAACATCAGCGTCACACGATAAGATTCATTATTTAATTTCTTCGTTTTTTTTTCATTGCGTTATTCACATTACATTTGAAATAACTGAAAAAATAATTCTATAGTCTTTTTCAGTCATGTCTACATGTTCATTGAATGCGTTTTTTTTTCTTTAAAACTTTCAAAATTCGGCCATTGAATAATGATCATCTTGTTGTGATTCAATAAAGGTCTTCTCTCTTTTATGTGGATTAGGTAATTAAATTTCATAACTTGTCACTCAAATCAAAATATGAAAGTAAAGTATATTTTTAAAAAAATTTCAAATGTATAACATACATTGAGATTGATGGATGGTACATCAATCATCATCATCACTGTGATCTGAAACAAAAGTGGCTATCAATGAGAACCAATTTTTTTGTGAATTCCGTATGAATGAAAACATAATTTTATTCTATTCATATGTAAATATTCGGTAGACAAATAAAAATGTAAGATTCAAAAGAAAGTCATTTCAAGTTACAATTTGTCTAGAAACTAGAAACAAACAATAAAACAATTGAAAATTCTGTCATACTGATGATTCTTTTCGGTTGAATTTATTTGTAGAAATGTTCAATTCATTACAAAAACATTAATATTAACTCTTTTATTCTGATAATCTTCATCTCTCATTCATTCATTTGAAAATTAGTCAAGATTTTATGTTTCTTTATTTTCGGATTTCGTTTCCATTATAATTTTGACCAATTTGACAACAACAACAATAAAATGATTGTTTTTGTTTTCATATAATTCTATTGCAATTTGTTGTCATTCATTTCATTCCAAAAAAAATAGAAATCTTTTATTCATTCTTGTCGCACAAATACATTAACAATGTGAATAGCGTGCATACAAAATACAAACGAATGTTTCTTTCTTTCTTTCTTTTTTGGGAGTAATGTTATTCACAATTACGTAATCAAATTATGATTATCTCAAACAAATAATGATACTTACATAATGGTATCTTGTTTTTTTTGTTTCTCTCATACAAATGTTTGCAAAGTTTATTGTTTTTCATTCTTACTGATCTTCTCAATGTTAGTTTATTAGTTTGTGTCGGTTCGAATGATGCATTGATTGATTCATGGTTTTATTTTTTTCGTTTAAATCTATTAATTTCAAATTCCCGGTTAAAAATTTTAAAAATTGTCATAAAAAAAATCAAAGTTAATGACAATAAAACACGAAAAAAAATGAACAAAATACAACGAAGAAAAAACAAATAATATATAGAGTTATGCACGAATGATTTTCCAAGGAAATTTCCAAAAAGAAAAAAAATTCAATAAAAACGTAACCGGATAATAATAATATTCTGTTACCTCGAATCATGATCTTTTTTTTCAGAAAAAAAATGAACAATGAACAATTTTTTTTCAACTCACTCATTCAAAATAACAAAATTCTAGATGTTTCATTTGTTTTTTTTTTTTAATTTTCATTCAAACAAATTACGACAATGAAATTAATTAATTTTTTTTCAATGTTAACGTATTTATGTGAATTAACCGTGTGTGAAATTGATGGGGACAAATAAAAAAAATTGAAATTTTACTAGAGACATCTCTCATTGAATTTTATAGAAGAAGAAAAAAAATTCTGAATCTGGTTGTTAATTTTCATTAAGTGTTAAGATATAGTGCGTGTAGTAGTAGTAGATTCTTTGATTCGAGAATCATAATAAGTTTAATTTAAAAATTGAAATTGTATTCGAATTTCAATTTGTCATATCACAAAAAAAAGGAAAGAAAGTAAAGTAAAAGATTTTGAATTCTCCAATTTCGTTTTGTTTTTCAATTTTGTTGTTCACATTACATCCATTGTTGTTGTTGTTTTGATTGAATCTGATTGTTACACATTTTTGATTTGTTTCAATGTTGTTGTTGTTGTTTGTAAAGTTCTAATTAATTTTGTTTTTTTTCACAGTGTTGTTCACATTCACATATTTGTTTTGTTTTGTTTTGTTTCTTCCTGTAGCTTCTAATGTTTGATTCTACACTATTGTGAATGTCTGTGGATTGTTCATTCTATATTTGATTTTGATTTCATTTTCAAAGCTTTAAAAGATTTTTGTTCTCTTCCGGAAATCATTTTTTTGTTTGAAAATACCTCATCGATGATGATGATTTCACATCATCTGTGAAATAGATTTTTTTTTTTGTTAAAAATTCATTTTCATTTCAAGAATCGATTTTTCTTTTTTTAACATTTCGAATTCATTATTCGTTTTTGGATTTTGATTTTTCGAAACAAAACTAAAAAACGGAAATTAAAAAACATTTCTCATAATAAATACTTTTCTGTTTCTTAAGAATTAAAATTAAAAAGGATAGAAAGATGCGGCTTATAATCGCAATATAAAGAATTTTATTTTTGTTCGATTTTTATTGATTGATTACAACAATAAACAACAATCGAAACATTATTGATGATCTGAAATCAACCTAACAGAAAAAACAAACAAACAAACAAACAAACAATGATGATAATGTCAATAGGGAATTCGAATTGAATCGATAAAATTATGAAAATTAAATCACCTGGAGAACTGAATATCGATGATGATGATGACATTGAATAGATAAAAGTTGAAGCAAAAAACATTGGAATGGTTAAAAGTTCATTTGAATTTATAATGAAAAATTACAATATTACATAACAAACAATAACAATTTGATTGTCATCATTATCATCAAGGGACAGGAAAATATGTCATCATCAACCATTACCATTATGTTGATGATAATGATAATGATAATTTTATTATCATCATCATTATAATGATAAGATGTATATATACAATTTTTTATATTGAATTACATTTTCATCATCAACATCCAGTAACCATATATAACAAGAAAAAAAAGAAGAATGAGTCTTTTTCTTTTACAAAAATTCTTCAGAACAGTCCAACAAAGAATCTTTTCATTCAACTTTCATTTCTTTTTATTCAATATTTTCGATTTTTACAGTGATAGTTATCTTGTTTTTCATC